TGAAACCAGCTTAAGAATTATTCACACTTGGACAAAACTAGCCATTAAACACAATATTCCTGTCAACGTCAAATTCTCACAAAAACCTGGCCCCAAATTAAAATCGTTACTAAACAAAAATTATTTAGAATCATACAATACCAACGTCATTTCCAAAATAACATGCAATAACTGCCCAAAATTCTACATCGGAGAAACAGGAAGAAAATTGGAAACCAGATTGACAGAACACAATAAAAACCGTCCCACGTTTTTCACCATTGCAACTCAAAAACCATAGTATATCTATTAAAACACAGTCATTTTCAACAAAGATCCAAACATAAATAAACGAAACATCAAGGAATCCATCTTAATTGAACAAAACAACCCTATTCTAAACCAACACCTCGGGGTGCCAAGATATCTCTTCTAAGTTTTGCAACAGTATCCGGTCATATGACCTCTTTGTTCAATACTGTATATTTATATATATATATCCGTGTCAGTCTAAATTACTTGTACCTAATGATGACAAAACCTTGTGAAACGTTGTACATTTGCTGTTATGTTAAACTTATATCAAAGGTTTTCTTAATTACACATTCAAGCCGTCTCCAACCATTATTAGTCTCAAAGTGGGTTCCTCGTCATCGAAAAATAGAAAATGTTTAAAATTACTGGTAATCTTCAAAAGTTCATCTTACTAATTAAAGAAGGCAAGAAATACTAGGAATGTGCTATTCTCTGGTAAAACTGATGTCCTTCAAGAGCGTAAGAGAGGCCCCACAGAATAACAGGAAGGTTGATCAGGCAAAATATCACAAAGTAATTCTAACTTATTCGAACATGACTCAGTTTTGAAAAGAAAAAGACTGCCCACACTATAAAACAAAATGACACGATCTTTATTTACCTCAAAAACACAATAAGATTTGTATTTTAAGATGGAAGACAGTGCTTTATTGGAGAGAACTATATTTCCTTAAGTTGTAAAACTTGCTGAAAACTTTTGAAGTTATTCCAGAGTGAGAAAACACATAACATCATATGGCGCTTGCGCTATACACGTGACTGGTGGCCATTCCTATTAAAATATAAAGGAGGCTATAGCCTCGAGATATCACTTGAGTTGACAGTGGAAGAATTTGCTCTCTAATTTAATACCCAACACATACAACTTTGCAGAAACCTTTTTAAAGAAAAACAAAGACGATACGAAAATGAAATACACAGAACAAATTTTTTAGAGCGAAATATGTGGAGACTTGACTGAATTAATGAACATTTTTGAAGACTTGTATAATAACAAAAATATAATATAATATTAATATATAAGATTTCTGTTATATATTAACAGAAAAGAATTTTCAACTCTGAAACTTGAATATGTTTGGAACAAGCTTTATTGTGTTTTACGTTAGTGGTAGTTAAATTAATAGTAATAATATCAACTATAATTACAGCTATTTATTCAATTTCATGTGACTTTAAATACTAAAATTTACCGCTACATTTTTTTCAAAACAAAGGTCACTATCTTCTGGGGGTACGATTTAGTATTTTCAACAGCAAAAACATGATTTCAAATTCAGAAAACATGCAAAAATAATGCATCTCACATACATGGGAAAACATTAATTCTAGCATGGTAATTTGGGAAAATTTGGAAATTAGTTGACGTACTAATAAGGAATTGGAGGTTGAAACTGATGATTCGGAAGATGATGAGAGTACTATGTCATCTCATCATAGCTCAGCTGATGAAGAGTGACTTTTAATTGTGTACAATGAGTCAGATGAGAAGGTGCCTGAATATGTGCCAGATAACTCTTTTGGTTGACTCAGATGTCAACATCCTGATTGATGAACTAGGAACAACATATTGCTTGGATGACTTAAGAGACTTATTAATTAGAACACCAAGATCACAACTATTAAGGTTATTCCCATCAAAATTATGCTCATAATTGAATTTGTGATATCTCACACGCATTGTCTTACATTTATTATAATTAAAAGGTATCTGCCATTTATTTGCTCACCTCACCAAATAATCCCAATCATCTTGTAAAGCAACATCCTCCTCTTAACAACTAGCAAAACCTAAAACTTTAATGTTGCAAGTAAACTTAAATAATCTAGAGGCCTTTCCTTCAACTGTATCACTAATGTATATCATGAAATGCAAAGGTCCTCACAGTAAGCCCTGAGATACCCCACTCGTGACATTACTCCAGTTTGATTGAACTCCATTTATAACATCCCTCAGCTTTCTTTCATATAGCAAGTTTTTATATTGTTGTGTCAGCGAGGTCACGTGACTAGTATCACGCCACCTCCTTCTAGAAATATCCTGTTCCTTCGTGAATTGTCGGGAGACTACTAGATTGGGGTAGTTATAGCGCGACTGTTGAAATTAAGTGTATCGCAAAGTTATATTCAGAAAGAATAAACCAGTTTTATTTAAAAAAGGACTTGTGTCGCTAAAGTTTCGTCGGAACGAATTTACGGAAAATTGATTAACGAACGGAGACGTAACAAATTGGTGTCAGAGAGTGGGACGGAAAAAAAATGGAAACGAGAAGCGGCAAATCAAATTACAGCTTAGCAGATTTGATGGCAGCAATACAAGAACAGCAAAATAAAAAAAAAGAACGGGAAAAGAAACAAGAAGAACGAGAAAAGAAACAAGAAGAGAGATTACAGCAGTTGTTGGAGGAAAAAGAAAAGAAACAAGAAGAGATATTACAGCAGTTGTTGGAGGAAAAAAGAAAAGAAACAAGAATAGAGACAACAGCAGTTGCAAGAAAACCTGCAACAGTGGCAGCTCGAACAGCAAAATAAACAAGAAGAAAGATTACAGCAGTTGTTGGAGGAAAAAGAAAAGAAACAAGAAGAGAGATTACAGCAGTTGTTGGAGGAAAAA